GCGGTATTTTTTTGTGTGACAAAACAGTGTAATGGACTGCTTATGTAAGGGAGCTTCCCACTACCCGTTATCTCTATAACTTTATGGACTAAAAATTTTGGTCGCAGCCGCTTATGCATGGGAGCTTCAAAACCGTTCTTTTCATTCAAATCAAAAACTCAGATTTGAGAGAGGTAGTTTCCGAGAAAAACAAAAAAATATGGGTCAAATATTCCCCACAGACATTTCCGAAGGCTGTAAACAGCGGAATCAAATAAAAAGAGACTCTGGGAGAGTTTACGGGCAAACAGGGGGAAGACGGTCTTTTAATTGATACTTTGAAAATCTGAAGGTTTCTGAAAAAAATTTAAAAAATTGAAAACAGATGAAAAATTTTCGATCTGATTTTCAAAAAACTGTCAAAGTATCAAAACGTTGACAAAACTCAAAACTACAACTTTTCTCTTGAACAAACTGAGCATAGCCAATTTTAAAGGCAGGCGTTCAACAATCTGTTGCTTCGATTGAACCTATGCTATCAGAATCGGCAGGATAGTTAGCGAGAAAAACACAAAAACGATCAACTAATCAAAAGTTTGACAATTCCGAGAATCACCGCTTTTTGTGTGAAACAGAGCGTAGCCGCTCATGCAGAAGTGATTCACGCAACTTGTAATTTCGATTCAGCCCAAAATCTCAGATTTGGGATGGTAGTTCTCGAGCGTCAAAAACTTTCAAAAAAACAATCATAAATCAAAATTTAGACGTTTCTGAAGGCCATTACTTTCGGTTTTGAAACAATTTAGTAGCGTTAACAAATGGGCTTTTCGCAACCTGTTCTTTAAATTGAACCCAAAATCTCAGATACGGCAGGATACTTTTCGAAAATATTCAAAAGTTCAAAACGTTCAAAAAACCATTCAAGACTTTTTCCCAAGGCGGTATTTTTTTGTGTGAAAAAACAGTGTAATGGACTGCTTATGTAAGGGAGCTTCCCACTACCCGTCATCTCTATAACTTTATGGACTAAAAAATTTGGTCGCAGCCGCTTATGCAGGGGAGCTTCAAAACCGTTCTTTTCATTCCAATCAAAAACTCAGATTTGAGAGAAGTAGTTTCCGAGAAAAACAAAAAAAATATGGGTCAAATATTCCCCACAGACATTTCCGAAGGCTGTAAACAGCGGAATCAAATAAAAAGAGACTCTAGGAGAGTTTACGGGCAAACAGGGGGAAGACGGTCTTTTAATTGATACTTTGAAAATCTGAAGGTTTCTGAAAAAAATTTAAAAAATTGAAAACAAATGAAAAATTTTCGATCTGATTTTCAAAAAACTGTCAAAGTATCAAATCGTTGACAAGTCTCAAAACTACAACTTTTCTCTTGAACAAACTGAGCATAGCCAATTTTAAAGGCAGGCGTTCAACAATCTGTTGCTTCGATTGAACATATGCTATCAGAATCGGCAGCATAGTTAGCGAGAAAAATACAAAAACGATCAACAAATCAAAAAATTGACAATTCCGAGAATCACCGCTTTTTGTGTGAAACAGAGCGTAGCCGCTCATGCAGAAGTGATTCACGCAACTTGTAATTTCGATTCAGCCCAAAATCTCAGATTTGGGATGGTAGTTCTCGAGCAGTCAAAAACTTTCAAAAAAACGATCAAAAATCAAAATTTAGACGTTTCTGAAGGCCATTACTTTCGGTTTTGAAACAATTTAGTAGCATTAACAAATGAGCTTTTCACAACCTGTTCTTTAAATTGAACCCAAAATCTCAGATACGGCAGGATACTTTTCGAAAATATTCAAAAGTTCAAAACGTTCAAAAAACCATTCAAGACTTTTTCCCAAGGCGGTATTTTTTTGTGTGAAAAAACAGTGTAAAGGACTGCTTATGTAAGGCAGCTTCCCACTACCCATTATCTCTATAACTTTATGGACTAAAAAATTTGGTCGCAGCCGCTTATGCAGGGGAGCTTCAAAACCGTTCTTTTCATTCCAATCAAAAACTCAGATTTGAGAGAAGTAGTTTCCGAGAAAAACAAAAAAAATATGGGTCAAATATTCCCCACAGACATTTCCGAAGGCTGTAAACAGCGGAATCAAATAAAAAGAGACTCTGGGAGAGTTTACGGGCAAACAGGTGGAAGACGGTCTTTTAATTGATACTTTGAAAATCTGAAGGTTTCTGAAAAAAATTTAAAAAATTGAAAACAAATGAAAAATTTTCGATCTGATTTTCAAAAAACTGTCAAAGTATCAAATCGTTGACAAGTCTCAAAACTACAACTTTTCTCTTGAACAAACTGAGCATAGCTAATTTTAAAGGCAGGCGTTCAACAATCTGTTGCTTCGATTGAACCTATGCTATCAGAATCGGCAGGATAGTTAGCGAGAAAAATACAAAAACGATCAACTAATCAAAAGTTTGACAATTCCGAGAATCATCGCTTTTTGTGTGAAACAGAGCGTAGCCGCTCATGCAGAAGTGATTCACGCAACTTGTAATTTCGATTCAGCCCAAAATCTCAGATTTGGGATGGTAGTTCTCGAGCGTCAAAAACTTTCAAAAAAACGATCAAAAATCAAAATTTAGACGTTTCTGAAGGCCATTACTTTCGGTTTTGAAACAATTTAGTAGCATTAACAAATGAGCTTTTCACAACCTGTTCTTTAAATTGAACCCAAAATCTCAGATACGGCCGGATACTTTTCGAAAATATTCAAAAGTTCAAAACGTTCAAAAAACCATTCAAGACTTTTTCCCAAGGCGGTATTTTTTTGTGTGAAAAAACAGTGTAATGGACTGCTTATGTAGGGGAGCTTCTCACTACCCGTTATCTCTATAACTTTATGGACTAAAAAATTTGGTCGCAGCCGCTTATGCAGGGGAGCTTCAAAACCGTTCTTTTCAAATCAAAAACTCAGATTTGAGAGAAGTAGTTTCCGAGAAAAACAAAAAAATATGGGTCAAATATTCCCCACAGACATTTCCGAAGGCTGTAAACAGCGGAATCAAATAAAAAGAGACTCTAGGAGAGTTTACGGGCAAACAGGGTGAAGACGGTCTTTTAATTGATACTTTGAAAATCTGAAGGTTTCTGAAAAAAATTTATAAAAAATTGAAAACAAATGAAAAATTTTCGATCTGATTTTCAGCAGCAATATGAATATTTTGTAGAAGAAATAAGTAAACGTGAAATTTGTTTCAATATAAATTACATGAAAAAAAAAACAAAAAAAAAGAATGCAACCGTTACACTAGACGGGGGAATTCAACACCTCTTTTGATTTAAAAATTTGAGCGAAAAAAATAACTAAAAATTAAAATTTTTTAAATATTTAATCTAAAATGGTCGACAGCATACAACTGCACTTTCCTATTCAGAAAAAACTTCAAAACAATTTCATTTGCAAAATCATCAAAATCACAAATCGGATTCATAGTCCAGCGTAATTAATTTTAAAACATCAGATTTTTTCTTATTTTATCAAATATCAAAAAAAGACTATTCAAAAATTTGAGGAAGAAAACAAGGATGGGAGGCCACATATGCATCCGCTGGTAGTATTCTGACATCACCCCACCAAAGGGTCGAAAACTTAGTTTTTTTGAAATTAACACTTTTGAAAATTTTCAAAAAAGATAAAAAACGTCATAACTAAGAAAGTTTAAGGCGTTGGGCAGTTAAATTCGGAGTCCAGACAAACATTCTGAGAGTACCTTAGATCGCTCAGCCAAAATTTAAAGTATTTCGAGCTTTGTGAAATTTTTTCAGATCTTAAGATTTTATAAAAAAAATTTCGAAAAACCATAACAAAAAAGCATATCTCAAAAATTAAGATGATTTGAGCAATCAGACTTGGAGATAAGATCTGCAATCTCTGAGGCTACCCTGAGAGCATCCCATTATGAAGTTGGGAACGTCATATCTCGGAAACCAAAAGCAATTGAGCGTTCACCGTTGGTGACAAGAACTGCAACTCCTGATTAAAGGGTTGGCAAGGCAATTTCAAAATTTTTAAATATAAATTTCCTGATTTTTTTAAATCTTAAAAAACTTCGCATCACGCAAATGAAAAAAAAATAAGCAGTCATAATTGGATGCAAGATTTGAAACGCCTGAGAGTACCTAAAAGCACCTCACACTATTTTCAGAGAATTGAAATTGAGAATTTTAACTTATGTCAAAATTTTTTATAACTCGAAAACTAAACGGACTTGAGCAGTCATAATTTGTACAACTACAGCGTTGAGAAATCCATGTTTTGTATTCCAATCATTATTATAGCAAAAGTGCCACCAAATAATGAACAATTTGCCACCAAACAAAGAACACTTTGATTTGCGAGTTGGGTTATAAAAACAGAAGGTTCGTACTAATACACAAATGCGCACATGCTCGCAAGTGTAATTATAAGATAGTTACACTTGCGAGCATTTGAGATATAATTTAAACCCTTTTTAGATTTGAGTGAACGTTAAGTCAAAACGATTTATCCTCAAGTGAAATCAGGGGTGGATTTAGGGTTTACTCGAGGGGGGAGGGGAGACAAAATTTCAAAAAAAAACATTTAGGAAACTTTGTCGACCATTTTCGACTTTTTCGAGCAGTTTGTCGACCAAGCAAACTTTTGAAAAAAAAACAAGCCGAAAAAGGAGCTTGTAAAACTTTGACAAAACACGCGTTTTTTCGGCGCGCGTTTCCCCCTCAAAATTAGCATATGTTAGCTGAAAATTTTAAGGTCAGTCAGCCAAACCTGGATATCTCAAATTAGAACAAAGGGGGACCCTTCGGGTCGACAGGGTGTCAAGCAACGAGCACGGAAGATGGTGGGCCTCGAACATCCGAGCTTTCGACTTAGATGTGGAGACGTAACCACTTCACCACCGCTAATTTTAATCTACTTATGATACCAAAGGACACGGAAGAAGAAACTAAAGAAAAATGCCACAGAAGCAATCCGCTTTCCATGAAGCATCCACAGACATATATTTGTCATGGATCCGCTTACCCGATGGTGTGTCGAATCTGTAGTTCTGCAGCAGTACTTCGTACACACCGTAGACTGGCTTGTGGTCACTTGCACAGCAGCTTGCAATGGAGCTGTATTTGAGACAGCGCACTCCCGGTCCCTCTCCCCTGATGAGTAGCTGGGGCTTGTCCCTCCACAGAATGCGATCACACCACGCCGGCTTTCGCTTCTTCTCACTCGTGTCGTAGTCCTGAGTGCCCACATTGAACTTATAAGTAGGCGGGAAACAAATTTCTCCTTCCTGCAACAAACACATCAAAGCTAATCAACAGGCTAAATTAAAGATAAACTAAATAAATTCCAGGTTTCTGTAACCCACTATTTCATATTCAATAAAAAAAAAGACGGAAGTCGGAATTATTTTAAAACATTTTATAAATGAAAAAAGTTATTTGAAAAAAGTCGAAATAACTTAACATAAAAAATCGTTTTTGAACCGGATGCTGTTCATAAATAGCCTTAAAAATGGTAACCGCTTACCTCGAAACTATGCTATGTAAATTGACGAACACGATATAACATCAGTTTAAAACGTTTAATAAAAACAAAACAAAAATTAATCGAAATCAGACTTGATACATTAAAGATGACAGAACTTATAGTAAAAACGGTTAGAATGAAAATAAAACCCATTATTACAACCCAAAAGACCGATAAAAACCTTGCCAGATAATAAATAGCATTTTAAAAAACGAAAAAAAAACAACGGAAACAAGGACGAAAACCACGAAGCCGAAAAAAATGAACAATCTTTTCGAGAAAATTATTTGAAAAAATAATTACTGCCTAAAACGCAAATCAACTAATTACTACTGATGGGATGATAGTTTTATTTAAACTTTCAAGAAATTGCGCAGCCATAGAGCGTGAAATTTCCCATTCATACTAAATTGACTATTGTGTGAACAAAGTTATCTAAAGGAAAAGTCTACTACCCGGTTGCAAAATTCTCGCTGATTGCAATGTTATTCAAGATCTAATAATAGGCTAGTCCTAAAATCCCATATATCAAGCCTGGAAAATGATACTCAAACTATTTAATTCAAACCCAGACGAAGAGAAATTTGTTTGAAGCATATAGCGCCTTGAGATAAACGTGTTTCTCCCATGATTTCAGCTTAATACAATGCACTGAAGCATGTACTTCAAAACATAACCAGCACACACCTGGAAAAATGTCAATGAACTCAAGAAAACCGAAAAAACGACAATTCTGACGAGAACTTTTTAGTCGATAAATTTACCAAAATCGAACCTTCATTTGCGCTAGAATCGAACCTTCAGCCACGAGACTGAAAATCGCACGTTCTCGAATCTGAACCCTCAGCCTGCAGATTGAGAGAGAGGGAGATAATTTGGGAAAATTACAAAAAGATAATTTACAAGATCAACTCAAGATCAAAAACAAAGGATGTTACATTTTTCTGACTAAACGCAGCTAACACCACCACTCAGATTAAAAGTAACGAACAATTTTCTGCATAAAATCTGAACTTTCTTTCCATTCATTATAAGGCTACTGAGCATCAATCTTGAGATGGTAAAAAATCTGAAGACCCGATCAAAATAGTAAATAGACCAGAGTATTGAACTAATTTTTCCAGTTTTGTTGAAGCAATTGTCAGAGATCCGGAGTGACAAATATGGGTCTGAAAGTGTAAAGTATTCGAAAAAATTTGCATCGTACTTCCCGTGAGAGAATCCGTCAAACAACAGTAATTTAACAATTTCGAGCCAATAGAAAAGCGGAAACAATATTTAGAAAAGGCGGAAAAAATTCAAGCTTAAGAGGGACAAGTTATCATCACCAGTTGTCCCAATCCATATAACTTGACGAGATCTTTTTACTCAGAAACCAAACTTGAGAAGCATAAGTTCACACAGAGGCGAAGTTGCACTTCGCATACACGAGCAAAAATATGACCGACAACGCTACTGGGAAAAACTGAATGAGTAAAACTTTGAGTCTACAAAATTCCTTAAGTGACGCACGCCAATTATGAGTCTACATAATTGCTAAGTGACGCATTAGCAGTTCCAGTCAATTTGAAAAGAAATTTATTAAGTAACATGCCTCAATTAATAGAGCGGACGCATTTTATTTACTATACGAAAAAGTTCATTGAAAACATGCGACCCTGCTGATGTTCGAACCCTCTTATTTTGCTTCTGGTCTCCTTCAATACCTCTACGCTACAGAACCATAACACCTTGAAGCTAAACTGCTATTTGTAATACAATAGTGTGTGTGAATATCCTTAGGATTTGCTGTACTTAATCGCTGGTTATTGATCTTATGCATACACTGCAATAAAAGAGCACTTTCAAAAAGAGCACTAATATTTGCGACTTCGGTTGGAAAAAGTGAGTTCGTAATATCACACAAGCTATGCTTGTGTAATAAGTTAGAACAGAAAAAATACAACTCTTATTGCTCCTAACTTTAACGGATTTGGAGACATAAAGAGAAATTTCTTTTAAGCAGAATAAAACTTTATGAAATTTAGAAAATATGACAGCTACATGCATTTACCAACTTAGGTCTGAAGATAAAATTACACCAGATCTTAAAACTAAACGAAACCGAGTAATTTATTGTCGATATGGAAAGTCGTATTAGGATAGTTTAAGAACAAGAGTATTTTACATTTCTCAGGATATGAACCCAACGAAATTTCATAAGATCACTGCTGGAGAGCAGACACATTACTTTGTAACACAAATAGGATCAACGATGCAAAAACTTATGGTCATCTACAAAAAAAATGAAACCACGAGGCACTCGGGGTTGTCGCTGATAAAAATTAAGAAAAACGAAGGCCCCATGAAGCAGTCTTGAGTTACAACACTGCTCTCTGAAGCATTTTCGGATATTACGACGTGAAAGCGATTGGACAAATGGTTTTTTTTTTACTAGTTCCAAGATAGAACTAAGCCAAACGACACAAATTCAGCGAGAGCCTTTCATGCCGTACTGAAACGAAAGCTTTCTTGCAGCCAGCATAAAACAGCAGTAGAAAAACAGTATCACAGAAGCTCAAATAATGAGTCCCAGTTGACAACAGCGAAGTGAAACCAAATTGTGAACTTGAAACTATATAGATGGCTTCCTTATAAATATGATAAAACGAAAGCTTTCTTGCAGCCAGCAAAACAACTCTTTCCAACCCAAGACATAACTTTGGTTCGCAGTGAATTGTTTGGATGGTATTTAGTAACATCACTAAAAACTGTTTTTATTTCGGAGAGGCGTAACACAGGAAGTTTTTCTAGCATTAGCCCAGAATTTACTTTTCACAACATACTTGGATTTCGAAAATGGTTACACCAAAAGCTGGGATACACGGAAGGTACATTATCGCAAAACACATAACGAATCGATTGCATAGCGCAAGAGATCGAGTTCTTTATTAAACAAGATGGTGATTGTACTCAAAAGGATGGAGGACAGTTTAAAAACTGAACCAAAGAAGCGATTGATAAGATTCGATTTGTCAACGAAGGTACGAGCCCCAATAGCATTGTAATAAAATTCCACAAGAAAATATGAAAAAACTTCTTGTTTTCCACTAGAAAATATGAAAATTAAATCCACCTCCAAATAAGAAGTCAGTCAAGCATCGTGAAATGAGGACTTGTTGGAAAAATTCCAGAGAATTTTATAAGATTTGTTAAATTGCAAATTTGCAAACGAGTTGAGAACCGAACTTTCCGAAGCTTCAAGCTTGAACTCAGGGGGGAAGCTGAGCTCACCGCTTGCGGTACAACAATTATGGGACTAAAACAGCAAGAGACTCAAGAACAATCAAAGGGGACTTCGAAAGATGTTGCTGTTGGAGAAAGAACCAGAGAAACAAACAAAAAATAAAAATCAAAGATAAAGTTTAAATTTAATAACACTGGAAAAATATGTAACTTGTTTTAAAAAATATGAAAATTAAAATCCACCTCGAAATTAGAAGTCAGTCAATGAAAGTCGAAAAATGAAGTTTTTAGGTGCCTATACATTTAAGCTATTCGATAGTGGAGTTTGCCTGATGATCCAACAAAAAATCATCACGACCCAGATGAGTTTCTTTACAGCGTTTCTTGTCGCTTTTAAGATTCGGTAGTGTGGTTTGTCTTCTTTTTAAATAAGGAAATGAACTGGGTTTTTTTAAAAAAAAGCAGAAGTCAACCCGCATAAAAATCGAATTTGAGCGTGAAGAAGTTTTATAACTTTTTCGTAAAAGAAAAAACGAAAACATCATCAATACTTATACAAGAGTCTTCACTACGTTCAATGAGCCTTAAAAAGTGGACTCGGTTGTAAAAAAAAACTCAAAAATGCAACAAGAAGTCAAAATACACGAAAAATGGAACAATCAAATAAATTTCAAAATATAGACATCGTAGACTAAAAGATTTGAACCTAGACGAAGAGACACTTGCTTTTAAAAACTTAGCCATAGCTAATATTGTAAGCATTCCTTTTGCAATCATAATCTAAAGTTATACTTATGGTTTGAGTTATTCCTTTTGCAAGCATAATCTATGGTTATATATCCGGCAGCAGAGACCTATTTAATATAGCGACATATAAGGAGACTATAAAATGCCGTCAAAAAACCACAAAGCCTGTAAAGGTGCTTTCAATACAATTCTATAAATGGAGCCCACAAAAAGCTAATCATGCAATTACATAGATGGATACTATCAAATGCTAGTCATGAAAGTCCTTATGCGCAGCTCATAAACGCTTAGTCTTTCAATTCACCCCAGTTGAAGCCTATAAAATATAGTTAAACAACTCCATAACTCATATGGAGCTCCTAAAAAGGATACACTCCTACAATAATGTAGTATTCGTATGAACAGACTTTCGGTTAAAAAAAAACGAAAATGAATAAAGGTTTCAAAAAATAAATGAATTCCCTCAATGCTCTCCGCAAATAAAAAACGAAAAATGTTCTTCTCTTCCTGCAGAAGTGTATGAGCTTGCCTGGAAGGGCGAAAAGGACCTGCCACTGGCGATGGAGAAGTTCAGCTGATCGTGATTGAGTAGATGTTGCAGCTGTCCCTCCTCCACTAGTCTCTTCACCTCCAGATTCGGTATCTCATCTATTCTGAAGTTGAGGTCTCCTAGCCAGAAGACGAAGTCGTGATTCAACACAGTCGACTCACTCTTCGAGTAGAACTGGTCGGCCAGGATGGTCAGATATGCCTAAAGCACAGCAAAACAGAAATGGACAAACGCACCCGCAGCCACAGATAAGCGGAAACTTAACCCAAATCCAAACCATCCCCTCTCTCACGATTAATCATTGAAATTTTAAAATTGAGAAGTTTTGTTAACTTTGTAAGAACAAAAATTTGCTTTCAAGTATGAAATATTCTTTCACTTCTTAGATAGAAACGACAAAAACACAAACCGCTGCTTTCATTAACATTTAAATTTGTAAGATTAGTCTCGCGATGCTGCAGAGTAAAAAGATAAACCTCAACTCATCACAAGCCTTCAAACATGAGAAAAATTAACATTCTGAGTTTCAAGTTTTTAGGAATACGGAATTGATCAAACTATCGTTCTCTAGAAAAAAAAATTAGTCTAAGAACTCCACAATACAACAGTGATGAGATCCCTTTTATCAGAATAGACTCAGATGAGCCTACTTTCAACGATCTTAACGAATCCATTGATAACCATATCTGCAAAGGGAAACAAGGATAGCCGGTTACTGAGCAGGTTGCACAGAACGTTCAGACGTTTTTTTTTTAAATTCCCATTTCTTTGTGCGTGAAGTGATGACAGGATCCCAAAGAAAGACTAGCATTTTAAGCATTTCCGATAATGCTAGCTAAAAACATATCCGGTAATTCTCGTGAAAAACATATTATAAAACAGTTTTCTTCGAAAAAAGACAAGTAATTTAAAACTGAATTTATTTGAATTTTAGAAGTTTTACTAGATTTTTCAGGGTTTGAATAAAAAATTGAAGGCTGGCTTATTTACTACTAATCACCGAATATGCTTCTATCAAGCCTGTTCGCTTGCTTTACACACACGCACACACACACGCACACACACACACACACACACACACACACACACACGCACGCACTAACTTATTAAACCTGTTTTTCTCGACACTAAACATGTTTCGAATATCCAATAACATTTTTCGCTACAACACCAGCTAAATCTGATCTAAATTTAGACAAAACGTAGATCCGTTTTCTTTACCTCATTGTGAGATCCCTCCACAAGCTGCAAAACATGCTGATGACTTGGAAGCATTAGTCTACAGCCTTGAATCCCCTTCACTTTCAAATTTATGTCTTAATGATCCTTGTTGCTTCTTGGTAAACAGTAGTGATAGTTTTTATCGCGTCCAGGCAATTCGGTCAAAGACAATTCAGCCGATTTGAAACTCAGCCGAAAGTATGCACACAATTCAGCCAATAATAGTGACCGCCGCAGTCGCGCCAACGTGTTGCGAGCTTGCCAACAGAGGGTAGGACTTAATACGAAATTTACAGCCGGTTACCGCCGCAAAGCGGCGACGCGCGCATAGCGCGCCCACCGGCGACCTTAAACCTAGAAATAACTCCAATTCCGATTTTTTCTTTCGAATCCAGTATTTTGTGGCTGAATTTTTCCAGGCTGAATTGTCTGTATACTTTTGGCTGAATTGTCTTTGGCCGAATTGTCCGTGCGACAGTTTTTACATGTATGGAGCCACTGAATGTGACGGGGCAATGATCCAAGCAAAAAAGTGGTCAAATATTATTAACGAGATGGAATCTTTCTGTGAAGAACCTGCATATATATTAATTGAACATAACAAAATGGTTTTTAATATTATTGTGATCTAAATTCAGCCCAGAGTAGACAAAACAAAAATTATTGGGGTTGAAAATAAGTTGGAAAGCAAAAAAAAAACTTGCCGATTATAACTTGAGGCGATTTCAAAATCGCTGTTAACATGAACAAGGATTTAGCTGACATATCTCACTGTCATTGAACCAAACGCCTTTGAATTTAAAACAATTAAAAACACAAGAGTAGCAGAAAGATCAAAGTCATGCTTTGATCATGCTTTTTGCATGAATGCTACCAATTGTGAGGTTCAAGTGCTTTAAAATTTCGGATAATTACCCAATTATTTTTAAATGGGCTGCGTTCACGGGCTTGAATGGCCAAAGGCAAGCTTTTAGGGGTACTAGATTTTTTAAAAACAGACAAAACCTATTTTTTTGTATATATTCTTACAAAATTTCAAATCCATAAGTTTGTCACCTGTAACTAATGCAGATGATGCATTCAATCTTTTCTGTGCCAAATTCGTTCATTCAATAAATTTTTTTTTGAGCAAGTGAAAAAGGCGGTTAGTAAAAAAAAAAATTATTCCCAAATTGTTTATTAACCAAATTGAACCAATTACTAACCAATTACTCTTCGAAAATGAGCGAAGAGTAATTGAAGTCATCGGCTTTGGAAAAAGATACGCTAAACAAACATCTTCTACAAAAGTTCAAAACTGCGAGAGCGTTAACAAATAAATTAAGCGGGCAAAAAAAAAACGTTGAAAAGTTCAATGGATGCATAGATGATGCGAAGCAAACAAATAAGCTTCTTTAAGATTTAAAAGGTAAGAAAAGTAGTAATTTAATACTTCTATTAGAAATTTAAATAGTATCCTTAATTAATTGGAGCCCTTCTGAGTTTGAGGTAGTTGGAAAATTTCACCAAGATTTTGCAAAAATTGGAAAAAGGAAAGTGAAATTCCGGTTGCAGAACCAATTGTGCCCGAAAAAAATGAGAAATCTTTTTAATTGAAATCTCTGTATCGCAACTAGAATTGGAGTCAACCATTGCTAGTTTACCAAATAAATAATCAAGTGGAGATAGATTACAACACTAAAAATCTTTGGTCGAAATTATTTATATTTCATTTCAACAAGTATTTTTCCTTTTGAACTAGCGGAAACCAATGTTTTTCCATCAAATAAAGATAGAAGAAAATTGATTGAACCGAATTTAAGACCTATCACTTTAATCCGTGTCTGCAGTAAAATGTTTGAACACTGTATGTATTAACGTATGTAAAACTACCTTTGGGTTCAAGACAAAACATAGTACCATAGACGCTCTAGTTGAATGTCCTGAAAAACGTGACACAAAAGTAAAAGCTCTGGGTGTCGTTTTTGATGGATTTGAGAAAGCACTTTTTACTCTCAATCATTCTGTATTTATTCGGAAACTTGATTGCCAAGGTAACGAAGATAGTTGTTTTCAATGGTTTAAAAAGAATCTATCGAATAGAGAGCAAAGAGTTAAAAATCTAAATTTTTCATCTGAATGTCAGGTAATGAATTGCGGCGTGCCTCAAAGATCTGTTTTAAGGGCTTTTTTGTTTTTAATTTATATCAATGAGTTGACTATAGCATGCTAAAAACAAGTCTACCTCTTCGCTGAATACAACAATGGACCTGCCTTAGTTTGTCTTGCTTGTGATATTAATATTGACCTAAAAAAGTCTACTATCAACTCAAATGCCATAAATGTTGAACCTGTCTGTAAATACCTAGGCGTAAGAATCTACTGCAATTTATCTCAGCTCGACTACAGCAAGTCAAGCACCGTTTCGGTCATGAAGAAGAAAGCACCTGACCGCACTGTTAGCTCGAATCTGAAGACACAAAAGACCTCATTAGATGCACCACATGAAACGCTGAAAGACAAGAATATCTGGGAAGTTCGCCCAGCCTAACCCACCTTCACAGCGTTCCCAAAACTTCATGGACTATCTTAGAAGCGTGGGCCTTCTCAGCCCCCTAGATCTCTGAAGCAGGCCCTCAATAAACGACCAAACAACCAACCAACTGCAATTTATCCTTCCAAAGTCAAATCCAGCAATGTGCCATAGTATCGAAACTTGGGAATTATGCACCTAGGAAACAACTAATCCATTACTGCTTTTTCAATATCACGGCAAATATACGATATGGAATTCTTGATTTCGGGTGCGCGTCGTAAACTCCATTGGTTCCTATTTTCATTTTACAGAAAAAAAAACATGAAGTTTAAATATTTCCGTAAACGAAGAGATCACTGTGATGATATCTTTAAAGCACAACAAGATAATAACTGTATTTGAACTGCAGATGTATGAGCTGCTAAAAATTGTACTTGTTTCAATGAATGGGCTTAATTCAGAGAGTTGAATAAAAATAACTTTAAATTTGAAAATTCTGGAGTGACAACTAGGAGACCCACCAAATTTTGAAGGGTGTTATTCATTAGGTTCATTAATCAAAAAACTTCTTTTTTTCAAATAAATTTGAACTTAAACTTGAACAGCCCAGTGGAATCAGCAATTTACTCCAAACCATAATGATCGAGTTCGTTTCCCGTCTGGTTTTGTTGCTTGTGTAGTAAAATACAGGTATGGTGAGAATAGCAATGAATAAACGGGTCACCCAAGATGAACAGAGGATTCCATACCAGGTATGTGTAAAAGAAGGGGTCGAAGTGGGAGAATCAAAGACAATTAATTAATTATCGATTTTCCAATTTAACATTTATCAAGAAAATATCAGACTGATTCCCCTGATAATTAACAACCAATTTATACACAGGGGCGATGCGAAGCTTCGCAACACTTGCGATACAAAAAAAGTATCGCAAGCTAGCAGACAGAAAAGAAAAGAAAAGAAAAGGAAGCTACTTAATCCAACGAAAACAGAAAAACTTTCAAAAATCACAAGTAAAATGTTGTCTGGAATGATGTTCTTTTCGACGGCGTTTAATGAAAATTCAAAAGCATGCCAGCGAAAAAAATTGCTGTTATGAGAACTTTGAACTATAAATTCTTTGCGTTTTTAGATAGATTTTTTGCGTTTTGTGCGATCCGAAAAAAAGCATACAAATAATGGTTCTCTCGAACGACTCAAAATTAGGTTAGTAGGCCGATAAAAAAATAAGCCGAAATCATTTAGGCCGAGAAAATTTAAAGCAAAAAGAGTTTAAAAATAGGAAAATATACGAAGTCAAAATTAATAGAATTACAAATCGCAGGAGTAAAGGAAAACATAAAAAGCAACTATAATAAAAACTGCATACAGCCAAAAACTCTAAGATGCGGCTACTAAGCCGACAACTTTTTTTGAAACGCAACATTTCCGGTTTGAAAAAAACAGGTCCTGGTCAGATTCGATCCCAGAACCTTTGCCGTCCCAAGCGTATTAGATATCTCCAGACTAAGTGAGCCGGAGACGCTTGGAAATTCGAATTCATCATAAGCCAAGATACCAAGTAATTCCAGTATTTCTGTTGAACAAGTTGTTAACCCGAAAAAGCCTATATTCCGATTTGATTACGCTTGCTAATCGCAACCGAAAAATTGAGTAGCCGAGAAAATCATCCTCTTTCCGATTTGCGGAGACAGCAAGCGCCCCTAAACCAAGTAAATGATGTGCGTCCTAAATTAGTTTAGAGAGAAGATTGATAATTTTGTCTGTCCAATGTGCCTACCTTATCCCTCTCGCGGTGGTCTGCCAGGTGCGCGGGCAAGTGTGAGTTGATGAGACAAATGGTCTCATTTCCTACTTTTGCCCTCACTCCTATTGCCCCTTTAGATCCGACCAGACTCTCGAACATGAGTTTCGTGTTGTCCGCCTCCACCAGATTCACATGTGGAAGCCACTCGTATTTCACAAACAACAGCGCCAGAAGACCTACACAAACAAACAGCACAATTGAAACAGAACAATTTTTCAAATTGCCATTTTTAGTTATAATCCACCACCCCATAAAGAGTTCCAAGTTTGGACGCAGCAGCAAGGTCTCTCGATAAAACAAGACTTGAAACGTACTTTCAACCATGTAAGAATTTCCGTTAAAACCTGAGGAAGGCTCGAAAAATATTAAGACTGCTCTTATATAAGAGCAAAGCCCAGAATCTTCCGAATGCCAACTGTTGATCACAAGCTTTTTGGTTTAAAAAAAATCTTCGCAAAAAAATTCTTTTTTATGTTCAAAAGAAATTGACAAACACTTTTATGATTTTTAGAAACTTTTTTGTTTGTTAGTTTCATCCAGGGCTGGCTAGAAACCTATAAATTTCGACAGTTAAAATAAATTAACTATAGGACATTTTTATCCGCCGACATATATTAAATATTCATCTCGGACGGGCAATTTCAAAATACTACTCCGTGGCTTTCTTATTTGTGAATTGGGTCAATTTTGACCAGCTAATATTGGCTTAAAGATGCAATCTTTACATCCACCGGCCAAAAAAAAACATTTGCCATAAATCTTTGTAGCCAGACAGCCAAGTCCAAATTGCAAAAAAAAGGTTGGAAGTTTCTGAAATTTTTTTGAATTTTTTCTCGAAACAATTTAAAGTTAAAAACACAAAACTCAATGCCATCAGCTTGAATAGTCTTCAAAAAAATGCTCAATGCTTACAAAAAATTTTGGTGAGCATAAAAACAAGGAAAACATGATGAACTATATTTAACTCCTTTAAAATTAAAAATAAATACTTAAAAACTCTACCAAACAACAGAAATAAAACACCCGGTCAGTAAACCGACAAAAACTGGGACGAAATCAATCAGTCGACAAAAATATCAATTTACATCTGAAAGCTTTGTGCAATCCAAGGGGAGCATAAGCTTATGTTTTCCTTGAAGCACCTGAAATTAGGTCACTAAGCCGATAAAATAAAAGCCGAAATCATTTGGGCAGAATAAAACAAAAAAGAGGAAATAAACAAAGTCAAGATTTAAAAACTGCAGAAGAAAATCAAAACATTAAAATCAAGGGGATATCGAAATTCCGTTGGAAAAATTACCTTGAAATATGAAATATTCATGGCGCTACAAGATTCAAACAATTTAGCTCGTTCTTTATAATCAAGCAGCTTTAGAACAGCTGTTAACATGCAAAAAAGTATTATTCAGCGCGCTTTAATTAGAGGATACAGCTCATACTGCAACCGGATCTACTTCAACATAATCTAAATAGTTCGAATCTACACAAAAACTACCAAGAGCTTTTTTTTTTGAAAAATCTAACTTTCCAATTTCAAAGAAAAAAGATGTCCTTAAAGCGCTTTGATTGACAATGTATTGATAACATTCTCCCAATTGAAAAAAACTGGATCAATCGGTAAATGTTTCATTCCGCTGGAAAATCTGAAAACTAAAATCCACACAGTGTTAATTTCGCAAACCTCGTTATACGTAGGTTGCACCGTGTTCATGTTTGTTTCCTTTCGAAAACTAGTTGAAGACACTGTCAACAGAAACATAGCCAACAAAAAATTGGAAAATGTCATTAACTCAAGAAAACCGAAAATAATGATTGAGTAATTTTTGAACAATTTCAACTTTCAAATGCGAAGAAAAAACACATTATGTTCAAGCTCTTTGAATTTCAAAATATTTATAATCAAACAATTGCAATTAGAGAACACTTGGCTAATCAGTAATTCTTTTCTATTTCTCTGAGAAGTCTGAAAAGGGAAATCCACTTTTTAGAGGCGTTTTTAAGCGTTTACGAAGAGTGCAACTTGGTTTCATGTTAGCGGTCATGAAGCCCACTATCTTCATCTCATACCAGTCAACAAGCAATCAAATTTGCGCTCTCGAACTCTGAGTGGTTGAATTATTGAGCCAAAGAATAACACACAGAATCACAAAAACACACAGAATAACAATCAGATTGGCGTAATCAGAAAAAATTGAACGCCAAATTTGCGTTAAACTCTTGCAAGCTTGCCAACAGAGGGTAGGTAGGACTTAATGCAAAACGTAGAGCTTTATTTGGTGATCTTATTATAAGCATTCTTTAGTTAAAAAAATTGGTAATCTTTGACCAATTGAAAACTATTTGTATGCTAGTTGCTACTTAACCTTTATAGCAATTGGGATGAAACTCAAAAGTCAAAAGAGATCAGAAGTCAAACCCCGCAAAATCTAAATAGAGCGTGAACAATTTCAACACAGAGGCGAAGCAAAGCTTCGCACCACTTGCGATGCAAAACAAACAAAAAAATTTAGATGTTGAAAAAACTAGGTGTAACAAAATTTTCGAATGTCTCGATCTAAAACAAGTATGGGCCCAGCTAAAGCTGGAGGTAGATGTTTGATATTGAATGAAATTGCTATACTGATGCCGCACGAAAAGGGTGATTTCAAAAATTGGCTTTGCCTAAAGCCTAAGTTGTTTCTCTACTAAAATAAGGCAGAATAGTAAGAAATTTTGAGATAATCAATTTTCCCAAGGAGATAAATCTCTAACAAAATTTAAAGAATCGCCGCTTCTGCAGTAACAATTATCGCAACCCGTTTTTTTTTTCAATTGAAATTTCCATCTCAAATTTGATTACGTAAATTATAATAAAATTCAAAAGTTTCCGAAAACTGGCGAAAGTTTTAAAAAATGTTTAAAAGACTTTCCAAAATTCATAACTTTTTTCTGCAAACAGCAGGTTATGGCCACTTAAGCAAAGAAGATTTCAGTGCATTTCTCGATTGAACGCAACCTGAGAATCGGACCGGTAGTTTTCGTGTAAAGTCAATAAGTTTCCGAAAAAACTGTCAAAGATTCAAAACTTTGAATTGTTCGAACGCCATAACTTTTTTATTAAACAAACTGGGATCGCAAACTATAAAGGCAGCCTTTTAACAACCTGTTCATACGATTAAACTTATAATATCAGATTTGGCAGGATAGTTAGCGAGAAAATTCCAAAAAACGGTCAACAAATCAAAAAAGTTGACGATTAGAAAATCATAGATTTTTGAGTGAAAAAAATTCACAGAACCTAAAATTTCGATTATCTCAAATTTTGGAGGGTAGTTTTCGAGAAAAGTCGAAAACTTTCAAATAAACCGTCACAACATCAAAATTATTACTTTTCGAAGGCCAAAACTTTTGGAGTAAAAAAAATTTGGGCAAATCCGCATAAGCAAATGAGCTTTCCGAAACCCGTTCTGAGAACTGAACCCAAAATCTTCGAAGTTTAAAAAAAACTGTCTAGAAATCAAAAATTTGAATTTTCAGAGCGCAATAACTTCTTGTGTAAAATTTTTTGTTAGTTTCCGCTAATACAGAGGAGCTTCCCACTACCCGTTATTACCTTGAACCCATAATATCGGATTTGAGAGGCTAGTTTTTAAGAAAAGTCAGTGATTCACAAAACGGTCAAAAATCAAATATTTCACGATTTCGAGAGCCATAACTTTGCGCAAAAAAAGTTTGGTCGTAGCCACTTACAGGGGAACTTTCCAAAACAGATCAATTCATTGAAGCCAAAAACTAAAGTTCTTGGAGTCCTAAAGTTTCACATCCTTCAATGATTTGATATTCTCTTGCGAAAGTCATTTTCAATATCGTTTTCAAATTTTAACTCCGTTGTCATCAGATAACCCATCGAATTTTTTTTTTGCTATTTTGCCTCCGTTATTGTCTGGTTGCTAGCAGAAGAAGTTCACGCTTGCTTGCGGGCGTCAGAATCTGCATGCTGAGTCAAATGCTTTGTTCCAGCGCTGATAATCATGACAAGCCTGTCATGTTCGCACCGGTTATTATGACGTTCACCCGGCACGGCTAGAGCCCAGGGACATTTTGCAGTCACCGACGAACCGAAAGCACAATTTCCCATGTATTTCTGGAAAAACTGTAAAAAGAAAAGAATCTGCGCTAAACACGATCTTTTAACCCAAAAAAAAACAAAATGGAAGAAACACAAACAGTAAATTCACAAAAAGCGACCTGTCACACAGCAGAGAGCTAAAAGAGACCACAAGAGACTGGTATCTTAAAAACTTGAAAAAAGAACCTTGTTGGAAACCCTGCTTACTGTGCTATATATCGTGATTATAGCAAATGTGCCACCAAATGAGAAAATCGTAAAAAAAATTATTGAAGAAAAAAAAATTTCAGCCAAAGTCACAAGCGGAATAAAAACATGGCCTGTATTATTGTAAAATAGTAATCCTATCTATGGGTATTTTTGATATAGGGCGCGATTTATGCATGTTGCATTGAATCGTAGTGTAGGTATACCTGGGAAAGTCTGGTGGTGTAGCATGATGAGGCCTCGGTCGGCCATCTGTTCCATCAGTCGTATGGACCAGGCACTGTAGCCCCAGTGGCGTACGATGTTATTGTGCATACTCGCATCCACCTCCTGCAGTCCAATGAACACCAGATGAGGTCCTCCGACCTCTTCTTCTTCTGCTTCAACACACAAATACGCAACAGTCACTCATTTACATTCGTCATTTGAGTCTAGTTAAAAGTTTATCACACCCCTCCACGACCCATGTTACCTACATTCTAAGCCTTTTCCACTCCTGAATGAAAATTCCACTTCAATGAGTTCATGTTTTGTTGCATATGCATTTAAAGCCCAGCTAATTCCTACATTCTGAAACTTCTGAGTTTGCTGCAATTCGAAACTTCAAAATTTGATTCTTTTTATCGGATTAGACAGTTTATTTTCAAAAAATTAACAGCGGAAATACAAAAAAGTGCAATGGTAACATAGTTGAGAATGAGAGTTGACAAGTAACTGAGAGTGGTTATTACCGTAGATTTATAACCGTCTTCGTAACCTGAATAACAGATATTGACCGAAAACTGCAAACACCGAAACTAACAGTGCCTTCTCTATATAGATGAGCCCTTCTATTCAGAATTCGGTCCTACTAGCTTGTAAATTGTACCTCTGGTGCTTCTAACAGATTACTGACGGTGAAAAATGCTTAAATATATAGAAAAAGAACAATGAAAATTAATGCAACCGTAAGAATAGACGGGGGCATCCAGCAACTCTTTCTACTTCATAAGCAAAACAAATTTAAAAAAATTCAACTTAAGGGTTCCTTTTTGGTCAAACAAGCCATATCTCTAAAACTACTGGGTTTCAGATCTTCAGATTTTCAATTAAGAAATCAAACCCTAAAATGCCCGCAGTATACAACTGCAATTTCTTAAATGAGATTCTTGTTTATCTATTTAAATTCATTAGCCAGTATACCATTTTTTGTATATCACTTGCCGTCATCATTCATTTAATCCAGCAAAATTAATTTAAAAACAATTTGTTTTTGAAAAAATTTCTTGGTATAATGAACACTTTTGAAATAACCATAGAAATCGTCATATCTCGGAAACGCCTGAGAGTACTTTCACGATACCACATCATAGGGCTCAACTTAGAAACTTTTTGCATATTTTGAGTATTTTTTAAATACAGGTTCTTTGATTTTTTTAAACTATCATCAAATAACACCATATCTATCAAACTCAAAGATTTACTAAGTCATATTTATTGGGACTGCAAACCCGAGGGTTCTCCACTCACCTTCATTATTATGCTCCGACTGGGCAGTGGTGAAATCTTCGTCGTGGAAGAGGATTCGCTCGTCCATCGTGCTCTCACTACAGTTGCCAACATTCCACGTAAGCAGCAGAACCCTAGCTTTGGCCGCCGACGTCCCCGAGTCAGGGAACACACAATTTGAACTATTTTGCTCCATTCCTTGAAAAACAACTCGGATCAAAACTGTGATGAGTATTTTCATAAATTCAATTACAAATTACTATAAATCTAAATTAGCAGAGTATAATAATTTTCACTGGCTGACGGATTTCTGAAAAATAGTAACATCAATATAGCAAAACTCTTCTGAATAGGGGCAATTATGGACTCTTTGAAGGGGCAGTCCTCCCTAAAACATTTTTAGCAAAAAATAAGCTAGCAAAATAATCAGTTTTCCTGAGCAAGCCAGCTCACCAACTGATGAATCTTTGCAATGGTTTTAGTTATTTCATAGTGCGACTCGGTTCGCAAAAACTTGAAACTTTATTGAGAAAGCTCTACGAGCATTGAAAGTTTGAACTTTCAGGTTTTTGGATAGGGCTAAAGGTTTTTTCAGTCGTTTGAGGAGCAAAAAGGTTTTATTTAAATCCGACGTGACAACGCTTGCTAATTTTCATATACTACATCAGGTCATTTCCAATACTCCAATTTGGCTATTAAAAGTATCTAGCATGTAACGCACCTACGGTGCTTCAAGCACATCAATGAACGTGAAAATTGCTCAATTATAATAGATATGAAAAAACGAGATTGTTGAAACCGTCACAATAGACGGAAGCATCTAACAAAGCTTTCAATTTCATTAACTGAACAGTAAAAAAAATAACTTTAAGGGTCTTTTTAAACTAAAATGGTCAAATATCCAAAATTACTGGGTTTCAGATCTTCGTGCTTTAAACTCAGAAACAAAACGCTGAAATGGTCGACCGCATACAACTGCTCTTTCAATATTTTAAGAAAAAAAATTCGGAACGACTTCACAACCAAAATCACTAACTTTAAAAAGAAGATTCTTGTTAATATAGTTTTTTTTCGTTAGCCCGTACCTATATAATTTGCTGTCATCAATAGTTTACTCTAGCGTAATTAAGTAAAAAAAAACATTTGATGGCAAGATTTGAAACTTCTGAGAGTACCTGGACAGAACTCAAACACAGGGTTAGGAATTAAAAATTGAATAGTTTTTTCATCTGACAGAAACCAACTACAGGGTTATGAATTTCACATTTACTAGCGTGTAACGCACCTACGTTAAACTCATAAAAAAGCGTAAATATCGGGAAAAAATCAGCGTACTTTGAGTGTACTCTGACAGCACCGAGCTACAACGTTGGTAATTTCAAATTTTGAAAAAAAAAATTATTCGAGTTTTTTCAATTCTATTTTTCAATTCTATTATAGAAGTTTTCTATATCTAAGTTCTTTGAAAAACTTTAAAATCTTTGAAAAATTAAGAAACGTCATATCTCGGAATCTACAACGAATTGGCAGTCGCATTTGGACGCAAGAATTGCAACTCCTGAGAGAGCTCTTACAGTACCCAACTACAGCGTTGGCAATTTCAAATTTTGAGAAACTTAAAATTAAGTTCTCTAAAAAAAAAATTTGAGCAGCCACAATTTGAAGAAAGATCCACAATCCCTGAGAGTACTCTAACAGTCCCCAAATACAGGGGATTAGGAACTTCAAAATTTCAAGAAAAAAAAACATAAATTTAATTCAAAAACACTAAATATAAAAAAAAAAGCAAAAATAACAAAAAAACTTCATATCTGAAAAAACTACAAGGATTTGAGCAGTCATGTTCAGAGGCACAATTTGCAACTCCTGAGTGTACCCTCACAGTTTCCAACTACAGGATTGAGATCTTCAAAGTTTTTTTTGAAAATTTTTGAAAAAGTCATAAAAAAACGTCATATCTCGAAAACAACAAGAATTTGAGAAGAAAGATATGGAGGCAAGATTCGCAACCCCTGAGAGTACCCTGACCTTCCCCAACTACAGGGTTGCGAATTTCAAATTTTCAGAAACTTTAAAAAATTAATTTCTAGAAATTTTTGAAAAATCTCGAAAATTGCCGTATCTCGTAACCTAAAAGAATTTGCGTATTGATATATGGAGGCCAAAATTGCAACATCCGGGGAAATCCTGACAGCATCTCACTATTGGGTTGCTACTTTCAAACTTGGTGAAAAAAAAATGATTTCAAACAGGTAAATCGAAAAAAAAAAATCTTAACCATTGCAATATACGATATAGCTTAAACGTGAAAAAATTCTTTTGTTAAACATGCAAAAATAATACGTTGAAAAAGCTTAAACATGGCGACATAGTGAAGCCCAAACTTAAATATATAATAGATAGATAGATAATAGATTGAATTTTTATATATCTAAATTTTCTGAAAAACCTTGAAGAAACATCTCGGAAACTAAAAACATACTGGCTGTCAAGCTTTGAAGGCAAGATTTAAAACACCTGAAAGTACCTTGACAGCGCCTCACTACAGGAACAAGTATTCACCTTTTGTGCAGTTGTTTTATATCTAAGTTTTCTGCAAATGTTTGAAATCACAAAAATCGTCGTATCTTGTAAAATAAAAAAATTTGGTAATCATATTTGGAGACCGAATTACGAAAAATTTTTTAGTATCTGCGAACAGAAATCGGCATTAAAATTAGCGTTTCGAAATGCTCACCAATAATTGAAAACGAAGATCCGTCTCAGTTTTACCGAATCACTCGACTGTGGAATGAGCTCCAATTATGTTGCATCCAATCGACATGCAGAGCTGGCTAAGAAATTGTATTGGTAACAAACAGCTCGCTGGCAATATATTCGATATTAGCAAACAGTATTGAAGAAAAACGGCAGGAATAGCAAATGAATAGTCAGGTTGTAATGTTCTCTTTTAATATTCAGCAATTTGTTACAACAGGAAGCCGTGTAAAATGTCCTTTCAAAGCGTAGTGGCGTGGAATAAACATTTCGTCAATTGTGCCAAGTAGCTAGAACGAGCAACTACTTGGTCATTTAAATTTCACTGCTCCGTTCATATCTATAACATTCACATTAAAAAGAACAAGGACCTGATTATATATCATGAACATGGTATGACTGGTTGTTGCAAATTCTGCCCAGAATGCTCCGACCACAGTAATCAACTCAAAGGGTTAGAATACGAGAAAAATTTTGGTCAAGATGTTATGTTACAGTTTTTTGAAGGTTAAATTGTTGATTCGTCCATTAAAATGTGCTTAACAGCAAGTTGAAATCGCCAGTAACTAAAAACAATTCATATCGGTGTGAATATCCTACCAGAGGCGAAGCTGAGCTTCGCACCACTTGCGATACAAAAAAAAAGAATGACTACAATTAAAAGCAATTAAAAAGAAACTAAACAATCTTCAAAAAATTGTTTCTGTCGCTAAAAAATGCAACAAGACCAAAAAATCGGGAAAAAATTTCCTGCATTATTAGTAACTTTACAAGGAGCTTTCGCATTGCTAGGAAGAAGCTGAAAAGTCTTGTATGCGGAACTAAACCGATAAAATAAAGCAGAGACAAAAACTAACCGAACATTTTCAGTTTGCAAAAAATGGTCTCGATTGGAATGTGACCGACAACGACTGGGGAGAAATGTCTGATGTGCGAAGGTTGTGGGAAGAAGACTTACAGCACATGTAAATGGTATTATTCCGAGATATTCAAGTTTCTGGAGAAGGCATTAAACGTAAAACTTTCAAGTAGTTAGAACATAGTTGAGAGATGCCAGAGTGAAAAAGAGCCCGGCCTGAGGGCCCGAAGTGCCCGAGTGCGGCTCTTTTGCCCGAGGCCATCTTCAACTATGTTCTAACTGTTGAAGAGTAACTTTTTGCTCTTTCTGAGGGAAAAATGACAGAAAATTGTGAAAGAGCCCGGAAAATTGTGAAAGAGCCCAGAAAAATGCGCGAAACTATGCAAACGATTTCTTTTTTCATTCATGCGTTCTAATATTTCATTTTTCATTCATGCCTTGTCGTGAAAGAACATGTGTGAAAGAGCAAAAACATACTCTTCTATATAATGGATGCCTTGATACTGCAACCTACCATTCGGTTACGAAGTAGTATTTCGACAACAACGTTCATACTCGTCAGTAAGCAGACTTACATTATATTAACCAATCAGAATCGAGACCAGGGAGAGATTTATCATTAATAAATATTTAATTCGTAAGTTTGTTTTCCCAACTCGATTTTGATTGGTTAAGTTTTGATTAGTCTGCCTATGTTTGACCCTGAGTAGTAGTGCTACCGCCTGGGGTTTTTGTGCTGCTCGGGATGTTATACGCCAGGTAACAGACGCATACGAACAAGTTGTTGTATGCCGTCAAAACCACTACAAGTTACCTTCAGTAGGACCTGGTAAAGAGTTTGTGTCTCAAATGACTGCTCTCCTGAAAGAGTGGAACTTGAAAGGCCCTCTGGAAAGCATTTCGATGGAAGCGTTGATGGCAATGCCAGCTTTGTTCCTCCAAAAACCTTCAAAGCAGTCAAAGGCAAGAGAAAATTTGCGCTGCTTAGGTGAACGACTCGACAAGTGGAAGGAGAAATAGGTCCGCGAAGGTCGAATCGTTCAAAGCTCCTTGACATCTGGTAGTACTTCGATGAATGCATCTGCCATCCATAAGAAGTTTTCGAAGCTCATGTCGATTGGTAAAGTGAGCGCCGAGATGAAATGCCTCGAAGAATGCTCGCCACCTGGACTGCTCGAAGTTACTCCTGAAGTTCTTCAGAGTCTAAAAGAGAAACACCCACCTGCAGAACCGCTCAGTTTGAAAGGTCTCATCCGAGGTCCTTGTGGCAATGTTCCGTCTGTTTTGTTTGATAATATCACTGGAGAGGATATCTTCCTGTCGGCTAGTCATACGAAAGGAGGAAGTCCTGGAATACGTCCAGTCGTGATCGGAGAAAGCCTGAGAAGAGTCATGAGGAAAACAGTGACTCTTAAGTTCAGAAATAACTTGATGCAAGCTGCTGGTCCCCTTTCTAGATCCGAGGCTGCGGTTCATGAAGCATGTTCTAGCCTGGAAGACACTGACTCTGGTTGCATTTGCTAGTGGATGCAGAGAATGCGTTTAACAAGGTAAACCGTAAAGTTGCACTGCAAAGTGTTTAAGCCTCGTGTCCGATTGTTTCCAAGTTCACCATGAATTTCTTTAGGTCACGGAATCGTCATTTTCTTGGCAGAACTGATCTCTCTGGTGAAGAGGGCGTAGCACAAGGAGATCCGTTTGCCATGATCTTCTACGGGCTGTCTGTTCTACCACTGACTTACTTCCATGGCAAGAAATGTAAAACGGCCTAGTTTGCGGACGACTCCCGCGGAGGTGGGAAACTGTCCGATGTCAAAGCATGGTGGGACTTTCTGAGTATCCAGGGTCCTGTGTACGGCTATCATTCAAACGCCGAAAAAACTTTTCTGATTGTCAAAGAAGAACTGAAACCTGCAGCTGCCTCTATGTTTAGTGATACAGGTTTTAAGATTACAACTGACGGCCACAAGTTTCTGAGCTGTCTGCTTGGCGCCATGGAAGTCAGTGACGAGTTTTGTGAGAACTTGGGTGCAAAGTTTTATCACATGACCAATGTTCTCAGTGATATTGCCAAGTCTTACTCGCACGAAGCGTATACTGATTACACGTTTGGGATGCGTAACAGGTGGAGCTATTTTTGTCGGTCCGTGCCTGAGATGGAGTCTAGACTTATTATGAAGACCCGCATGGTTTGTTTCAGTAATGAATACTTTGCTTCGATTACTGAAACAAACCATGACTACAGTGTAAATGAAGACCCGCATACACATGGCGATCTTAGCCTGATCATATCAGCAGATGAAATATCAAACGAACTCAGTGTACTGGACCCATATAAGAGTCGAGGTGAAGAGAAGCTGCCAGCCTCAGTAATGAAAGAAACAGCAAACAAGTTGAAGACATCTCTATTCAATATTTTTAAAAAAAAATCAAAAGACTGACCCAAGTGCCTCCCAGATGGAAACATAGAATTATCATACCAATATAAAAAGGAGGAAAGAAATCAGATGTTGGAAACTATCGACCAGTAACTTTGCTGAACACACCTATCAAAGTTTTTGAACTTATAATCTACAAGAGGCTCATGGAGGTTATTACTCATGTTTGCTGATGACTTTTGCTGAAGTTATTTTTCAGAGGAACGAGGAATAGTCTCGATCAGTTACAACAAGATTTGATAAACTTAGAGTTATGGAGTACTCAAAATCATCTGCTTTTCAATGCTAAAAAATGCAACATGCTTGTATTCAATTTTCAGATTCCACCTTCTCTTAAATTCATGGGTAACGTTTTGAGTGATATTAACAGTGTGAACGACTTGGGATTAACTCTGAACAAAGCATTGAAGTGGTCAGAGCATATAAACAACAAATTGTCAAAATGTCACAAGGTTTACCGAATGTTTAAACGCAATACTTTTTCTAGTCTGGGAACTACATCGAAGCTTCAGTCATATAAAGCAGTGTTTGTTCCAACAATACTATATGGAGCTGAGTGCTGGTCTCCGAGTAGGTCAGATATTACTGAGATGGAGAAGATGAACAAGAAACTACTCAAATGGGTTGTTCCGTATGCGAGATGTTACAAAGATGCTATGATCCGCCTGAACGTGTTACCATTACCATACTTTCAAGTCATGAAGGAGCTTTTACTTTTATCAAACATCGTTGAGAACAAATTCGACGTGAATTTTTCTGAAAATTATCAAAGAGTAAGTAGTCGTCGTGGGCGCTTGCGCTTCTCTCTGCCAAAAGAACAAACTGAAAAAGAAAGAAATAATTTCTGGTATCGCGCGTGCATGAGAGCAAATATTTCTGATGTGAATATTGATTTCATTAACCCCGAAGGACTCAAGGCTAGATTATTAGATCATATGTGGAGCTATTTTGTACAACGTTATCAAAAGAACAATGCCTGTTCATGGACCTTTTTTGTCTATGCAACAACTGCAGAATGAATTACCACACATGATCAGAATTGGGGAGAAATCCCTTCGCATTGCGAAAGTCCACCAAAACAACAACAATTACTAAAAGAAAAGTAAATACCGAACATTATTGGTATCCCCGAGAGTAAATGAGGAAATTTATTTCTCTACCCATCAGATTTGGAGGTCTTGGTGTTCAAACTTTTGTGAGACATGTCTTCTCGACCATGTATCTTCTGTACAGGCCACCAAATCTCAAGTGGACGCTATCACTCTGTAAGAGCGAGAATCACCTCCACAAATGCGACTTCAGCAGATTGCCGAGTGTCGCAATATCCTTGCTACAAAAAACACCTTTTAAGCAGCTAAAACAAAGCCTTTCCGGTCATGAATGTCACAAACTCATCAAGCTTGAGTCCCTTGCGAAAACTGGCGAGACGAAAACTGGCGAGAAGTACTCTTCTGTTATACGAACAGAAATAAGTTTCTCCTTGCTTCGTTCCACCACGACCGCTATGAGAGGGTCCCGGAATGTCAGAGGTTTCCTCTAAGTCGTCTGCATGCAGCCGTTGTGGTCCCGTTTTTTACTCATGTCTCTATCAGTTAAGATGTATATTTTTCTCTAGAGTTATATTTGTTGTGGTATTGTAAGCTTCTTTGCAAATTTTTGTGCAATTTCTATGATTTTACAATTTTTTGACGGTTTGATTGGTTATTATAGTTTTTGTCTGCTTACTGACGAGTATCAAAACGCGGCGAATATCAAAATACAGACTGCACTTGTGTTGACGGAATCGCAGAAGTACAAAAATTAAATTTTGGAGTAGGTCCGGACCCACCAATAAGGACTTATTTAAGGATGTTCCGTGAAAGTTAGAAGCCCCATTAAGGACTCGGCGCACCTTACCCAGCTTATTCGGATTTACGACGGGATGGTGCGGAAGATACCACTCGCGATCGGAACGCTTACGTGGATCATGCGGTTCGACGGTAACGACATAGCCTTTCCTAATGTCTCTCTAATTGTTTCTGCGTATCTTTCGCGCAGCTCAGGGTCTTTACTTAACCTTCTCTCCAATGTTTTAAATTGGGCGAGT